CAAACTAGAAAGAAGACTTTATATTGTTTGAAAGTTTGTAAAACTTTTGCATATAAATCATTGTTTGTAATAACTGTTATTGTAAATTGTATTGTTGTTTATGTTACATATTTGTATTTAAAAAAAGAAAAATTGTGTGTATCAATCTTGTTGGCAAATATCAAAAATTGAAGATATATCGGCATTTATTTAACTACTAAATTTAAATTATCATTTAGCTCGATTACAGACCATTCGAAATTGTAATACGTAACACACACCCTTCCATAATAAGCAAACACTATTATTTATTTATATATCAGTATGTGTTTTTCTAAATTTCTGTGTTGGTGTTCTGCAAGCAGTTAGTGATAGCCTTGTAAATCGGAGGTACAAGGCCGTTAACATGTTATAATTTAATACAACTTGTACTTACTTGACTTTTTATTTCTGTGCCACTCACTCATGACGTGAGATGACACTCATTTCAAAGGGTGGTGCAGAGACTTCTACATATTCGTATGAGCTGGAGAATTTATCTTCTTTGAATATATATAATGATAGTAATCACTGACGTACGTAATTAACGATTTTGAGACTCTTTGCTGTCTGTTTTGCGCAGACGTTTTATTTTCAACCTGTTATTCTTACCCTGTAGCAATAGTTGTAGCCAATAACAAAAATTGAAACTGGTTATTTAAGTCACAACTCACGCTGTCATTGAACAAAGACCGTGTCTTATTTGTTCATTTGTGTCTGCTTCAGTGCTTCAATTCTTTGCTATCCGTATTCGAAATTAATATTTGCATAATATTTCCAGAAAATACTCTATAACAAATATTTGCTACTTTTTGTCAGACATCAGTGCAAATTAGCTAACTTAAGGGTCTCTTATATAACCTGTTTGATTACTTTTCCTGTTTTGATACGATCATAAACAGCACTTTTATAAAAAACAAAACAAACATGTTTTATTATAACACACATTAGAAAAGCTCATTTTTCGTAAACATAACTACTTTTTACCGACGAGCGCCAGTACTAGACTTAACATTGAAAATTAATTATATGTTTTTATAGATTACGCGCTTCAGAACTTCTGAACACGTTTTAACTACGATTACCATATATTTTAGATACCTCTTCGGAGTAAGTGCATTTTTTTATTATTGTATCTTTGAAATATAAGAAACACCTTAAATAGTGTGAATTTATTTATCATTCGTTGGATATGAACCATATGTTTACACGGTATCATGGGTCTGGCTTGTCCTGGTGATTAGGGTGTCTAACTCGCAATCTGAAGGTCGCAGGATCGAAACCTATCGCCGAACATGCTCGCCTCTTTCAGACATGAAGGCGTTATAATGTGACAGCCAATCTCACTATTCGTTGGCAAAGGGTAGCTCAAGAGTTGGCGGTGGGTGGTGTTAACTAGCTGCCTTCACTGTAAAAATTAATGACGGCTAACACAGATAACCCTCGAATATCTTTACGCAAAATTCAACAAACAAACGACACCCTGAGAAATTTCAGTATAAAATCCAACCACGCGAATTTAATTGCATGTGTTTAGGTTTTTGCGCCGTTAGTGTGTTTTTGTTGTTTTCTTTATCTTCGGTCGGTGTATACTTATTTAACATAGTTATAACTAGGCTTACCTATACCATATATCCATGAAAAATATATTTAATATATTAATGTTCTAAGTTTGATTTAACTGGATTAATGAACTTGTAGGATATCGATAGCTCCCGACGAAGCTGTAAGAGCGAAACATTGAGCTAATAAAGTTGCATTCTGTAGATATATGTCGTGATTTTATTTACGTTGATAGTAATAGTCAATGATGATTTAAATTATTATCAGTTTTGACCTTGATCATGACTAGATTATAAGAATATACGTATGTGTTGTATAATTTCGTCCACTCCAATTTCTTCAGTTCTACGAATCGTATACACTTTACCTTCAAAATATTCTTGGAAACTTTTTCCTTTCCATCAGTGGTAACTATACGTAATAAGAAAATATTGGTAAG